TTCAGCTGTGTGCAGCACTTTGAAAAATTGGTTTGGGGCCTGGAATTGATGGAGGTCGCTTGGGAGTGATTTATGGCATGTTTGTGAAGGCCTGGGAGTGGGGCTCGTTCTGCAATGATGAGAACTGGGATGGGGCATCAAAGTTATGGAACTGAAAGCAAGGATATAAAATAGTGGGAAGAGCATCTGAGGCAGAGTAGGTACAGCGTCATCTTGAACTGCAGATTGGGTAAAATCTACACATACACAGCTTGTGTAGTCCAGTGGATAGTCTCTCCTGTGTGTTGAGATGGATGGAGTTGCATTCACGCAGGAGGCATCTGGGGAGCCATTGCGGCCCCGATGCAACAGTTGGCGAAGTGTGGGGGGCACTTTAAGCCAATCGATGTGCCCCCTGATTGCATTGCAGTCGTTCGGCGCAGCCCCTACCAGTGAAAACTTGCTTCATGAATCACAAATGAGCTCTGGGAAAGCCACTCATGGAGATTTGATCAGTCTACATGCCCTCTGAGTAAATAATGACCAATGGAAAGGCAGCACTTGGGAGTATCGGTGCCCATCTAGACGCCTGGATGGTGATGTTGATCCTTGGACCGATTCAGGGATGCTCAATATGCCAAGGGGGCACAGCTGATAGACATGGATGTCAGCATCTCGATGGTGGAGAATAAATGCAGAAGCCAAGTGTTCCGCGTCACGTGAGCATTGTGGCTTGTCTTGCTCCTGTGTTGGCATGCGAGTCAGTGGCGCACTGTTGGGACGATGTGGTGCCATTAGGGAGACAGAGCTTTTATTTAACTTGGCTAATGGGGGGGAATGTTTTAGGGCTACGTTTTAGGGCTACATGTTTTAGGGCTAGGTCAGCAAAAGAGCTTCACAGGCCGGTCGTGTGTTATTGGCCTCAGTTAGAACCTGAGCCGGCATGTAAATACATTTGAGAACTGACGCGTTGCTGCCTTCCTCCAAGCCGGCTAAGGTACCACCAGGGTGTTGATCACAGCAGGTGAAAGAGGCTCCCTTGCTTTCCGCTGGAGTGCTGTCATGGACACGGCAGAGGTATTTGCACACCTTCCCGTTGTGCAGCATACGATATTTTTGCGGCGCCTGCGCGTGTCTCAATGTCGCCCAGCTGCCAGCGGTGCTAAGGAAGGTAGCCGAGACGCACACCCTCAGGAAAGTTGACACAACACAGTACAATAAAGCATTAAGCCTCGCAGTGCTTTGGCTCCTCCCACAAATTACTCGACCACATGCAAACAACATCCAGCCATACGCAAACCCGCGGCGCTCGTGCTTCGTGCCTGTATCCGTAGTCTCTTTCCCCTTGCTGTTGTTCTACGACTTCGAAGGATCCAGGCCATGTGCAATTTTAAGGTGCAACTCAGGATCTCTGGAAGGTAAACACGGACATCAGACTCATAAGCCCCATAGGCCGTCTTCACAGATCTGTCTCCAGACATACTTTGTGATCACCTCGCTGGTGGAAGGCGACATCAAAAGCATGATGCTGCATGACATCAAAAGCATGCGGTGCAGCAAAAGTCGCTACACGCCCATCCAATTGACGGCAAGCACGGGTATTGTGTTCGAAAATAACACTCCACCTCCGTTAAAATTCTTGCTGCTTGCATACAAGCAGCAATATTTTACCGACAGCGTAGTCCCTTAAAATGCATCGCACCCTCGATATCGAACATCACATGGCCCCGATAGCCCTGCTGTGCATTAGCTGGGTATGGACACATCATGATTATGGAGTGTCCACATCCAGGAATGGACTGTCGACATCTTGGATATGGTCGTGGTACTGGATAGTATTTTTCAGGATACACAGGGCCATAGTAGACTAGATATGGCCATATCCTGTACGTGTTTATTCCAGATATGCAACCTTTTCGACGACCATGTTCTTGTCGCAGTTTTGTACATAATTGGTCGACTGAGCAGAAGATTTACGTTCCTTGGTTGAATTTCGGTGGATGCACATCCCATTACATCAGCACTGGTGTGCCACACTGATGTACACATCACGTGCACATAGTTGCATGCAAGGACCTATACATGGCCGGCTCCAGTGTTGGTCGCGCCTGCAAAAATGTATCAGCAGTCAACGATTTTCATCAAGATCTTTACAGCATTGTCAAAGAGATGCGTGTCCAACAGGGACAAGCTGCTGGGCACCCTTTTAAGTAAAAATGGCAGAAGGAAGTACTGCAAAGTACTGTGCACTAAAAGGGAGAATATCGCGGTGACCCGCGGGCGGATTGCGGCGCTGCAATCCCTCTGCACGAGCACTCCAGCCACAGCTGTTACAGTTTCAATTCCTGAACTGATGTTACGTAATTACTTGATATTAATTCATTAATTTAGAAAGCTAAATTCACTGAATAGAAGGATTGAAAAAGATTTACAATTCGTGCACCAAACAGACACCCGGGCCTTATCCCCATGCGGCGATTGTTTGGGAACACCCTCCCGTCTTCGTGCATGGCGAGCTGGTCCCCATGTACCGCGGAGCAGGGCCTCATTGTGTCAAACGAGAACATCTCGAGATATTCTTCGAGATGTCTCCAGGAACATCTCGGGAAAGTTCTCGTGAAACATCTCGGCGACGGCTGGATCGAATGCATTGCTCAGGTTCCCTGCGAACAGTCCTGGAGAGGCGCCTCGAAGCCGCACATCACAACATGCACACAACACGGTTCATCCACAGTGCAGCAAGCCCGCGTGGCACGGCCTGCACACACGCCCGTGTGCGTACGTAACGGCTCACGTACCCACCGTTTCGGCTGCGTAAGCAGTACTCGCGCCCCGCAAACGCGCAACAGGCCGGCAGCACAGGGCCAGTGGTATGCTTCCGCGAGCCCGGCCTGAAGCTTCCCCTCGCCCCCGCCCGCCCCTGCGGGCCGGCATGAGCCGCGTGCTGATTTTTATTCCCACCACGTCCGTCAATTGCCCGCCCCAGCTGGAGCTGGCCGCCAAAGGCGATTACCCACACGCCCGGGGCCGAGAGTCGCGTGGCCGCCGGGGTGCGCGGGCAGGCGTCGGCGCGACGTTGGGCAGCGCTGGTCAACGGGAAGTCGATTCAGAATTCAATCCATCCGGGGGCTCGCGGAGGCGCCGCTGGGCCTTGAGCGGACGTGCGGGGGCGGCCTCATTGTCGGCAGGGGGGCCGAGATGGATTTGAACGACAGGTTGGTGAATCTTCTCGCTCATCCGCCGCTCCCACAGTCGGGCCTTCAGAGATGCGCGGCCGGTCTCTTCCCCCGCGGCATCTGGCGACTGATTGTCTCCTTCGCCCGTCGCGAACCCAACGTGCCCCAGCGCGCGCCGCGGGCGCCAGCATCGGCCCCCCCCCCGGCAGAGGTTTCGATGCGCCTTTCCCCGTCCGAGGCAGCGGTTGCTCCTGAAAGGGCAATTTTCATCACCGCCACCCGCTCCCGCCATCGACTTGGACACCATTTTCTTGCGCCCTGGTGATTCCGCCCGCCGAGTTCGCCCGATCGAGCCACCCCGCGCACGCCCAGCTCTGGACGGGATCAATGTGGCGAACCAGGCCTGGGGGCAACCAGCCCCGAACATGCGCCGCGCATGCGAGAATCGTGCGAAGCCCGCCTGGGCGGCCCCCCTTGACGGCCAACGTGGTAACGCGATCCAATCCACCCCTGGCTGCCCGGCCCTGAGGGGATGGCCCCCGGATGCCTCCTGGGACCCAAGGCGAGGGCAGCCGGCGGGCAGCCTTGTTCTGGGCGCTCCCACGCGGCCTTTTCTGGCGGGCCGCGGGGACTGGCTGCGTGGCGGCTGTCGCGAGCGCGTGTGCGCCACGGCCACACTTGTGTGAGCGGATGTTCAGAGCGCATCGTTGGCCAGTTCGGTTGGAAGTACGTGTTCCTGTGGAATAAGTACTCACTTCATATGCGTTTTTGTACTCCCAAGTAGCCGTGGTGGCCGCAAGTGTGAACTCGGGTGGGGGGTGCCGCCTCCATGATGTGACGGGACACGTGGCAATGGATATGCGCGCCCGGGATGCGGAGGGTTTTCTTCCGACGGAATCTGTGGATACGAAACGGTGGAGTGTTGCGCGAAGTACTGTCTGTACGAGTTCGGCTCACAGAGGGCTGTCGGGATTCATCCAGTGGCTGCTGAGACCTTTGGTCCGCAGGGCGTTGTTGTTGTCTTCCATTTGACGTTGTCAATGGAGTCAACGTTCACTGTGCGTTGACAGCGGCAAACACTATTGCTGCAAAGCATGGCGCAAGGCTCAGTACTTTATAGTACTTAGCTGGCCACTTCTTCCCCAAAACGGCGTTGGCAGTCCATGGGCAGGACGCAACTCTTCATGTCGACGACAGCGCTCTTTGAGCTGAGCTGGCTCAGACAGTGCCCTGTACCAGTCTGTGTTTTGTGTTTTGATGCGAAGATTCCGTCGGTGCTGCGTGCTCTCCAGTGCTGTGCATAACCTGGCGCGCACCACATGCATGTTAAAATGCCATGCTGGAAGGCATCGGTGGGATGCACTGTCTTCTAGTTTTGTCCACAGGTAACATCGCGAGGACTGACCATTTTGTTCGCGCAACCCTTTCAACCAGAATACTGCACAGCAGTATGAGTAGCTGCAACCGATTCAAAGCTGGAACGGAATTGCGCAGAACGTTCCGTCCAGTACACAATTCACATCGCAAGGGCAGACTATGTTATTAGCGCAATCTTTTCAACCAAAGCACTCCACAGCTGCGGATGCTTCCGACCGATTCAACTTGGAATGAAATTTAAATAATTCTATTTTATATATTTTTTAGAAACTTTCTTTAAAAAATTGCCCAAAGTTCTCTGTTCTTGTGCCGATGCAAAAGAGACCTGACGCCTTTGCACGTGCGGCACGCAGGTCTCGTGTTTCGGACGCTCGCCAAACACCTTCGACACGTCCGAATCAGGGAATTGCCTCAGATCTGAGGACTCCAGACTCCCTCCCGGCGCCTCGCGCTGAGGCGACCAACGGGATGACTTCCCGCCGGACGCACACCCTGCCGGTGTCGCTGACTAAAGCCTATGGCGTCATCAAGGCCAAGATATGCGTCATGTGCGGCGAGGACAGGTGCCGGTTCCGGATGTCCGCGAAGCCGAGCGTGGGGAAGCTTCCCGACACATTCGAGGCCATCACCTCGGACGTGGTCCTACGAGACGTGGGCCAGGTGGGACTCCTTGGATTCACAAAAATAAACAAAAAATAAATGAAGATCGCGACACAACAATAGATAACTGAACGAATAAAAAGACGGATAAATAAATGAATGAGGGAATGAAAAGTGCGACGGATGGAAATAAAGCACAATGATAGAAGACGTAGTGCATGACAAGGCACAGTTGTCAGTGTCAGCTGCGGTCGAGGTACAATCACTAGGAAAAAAAGGCCAAATAACACGTGTTCAAACGTGTAGGAAGTTTACGGGCTTGGGTTATTTTCTTGTCCTTAGCATACAAAACACTGATAAAATGCGTGCATATGTGTTCGCAAAATGTGTTATTTGGTCCTTTTTTTCCTAGTGAATCTGGCCACATTTGCCGCAACGCAGTGCAGCAGCGCCCTTGGAGCTTCCAGGCGATGACAAACTGAGTTGTGCGCACAAAGTGAACTAATCGAATATCAGTGAAAGCTGCATCAAGCGCCGTCAAATTAGTGGTTGTCCAGACAGTGTTAGTAGCCTTGGACACATGCGCCGACCACACGGACCCGAGCAGCCCACAAAATCGCGGAGACTTGAGCAAAACGGACCACAGCTCATAGCAATTGGCGGCCATGACATCAATCTCACATTAGCAGTGCTGCAATGGCGTTGGTGCGCATAAAAAAGAGGTATTTTTAATATATCAATGCAGAAAATAAGATGTGAATGCAGCTTAATTAATTGTATTCATGCAACATTAATGCAGATGATAAAAATAGATGCAAGCATATTCGTGATGTATATTTAGATTTGGTACTGCTCGTGTAAACAATCGTGAACGCCGCGGCTGATGCAGCCAGACGTCTGGTGTTCAGGTTCTCTCCCTGGGCGTCCTGCGGGTGTTGCGAAAGCCGATGAAGAAATTCACGCTTGCGGGGGTGGACGACGAGTGCCTTAAGGCCCTCCAGGCGGCCTGCGGCGACCGCCACGTGACGTTTGATGACGTCATGGCCTTCATGGAGGACCGCAACCACGAGGTGGCCCTGGCGGATGTCGAGGAGCGGGGCGGCTGGGCCAAGGGCACGCTGTACTTCAAGAACTGCAGGCGTGGGGGCTGGCATGGGCCCCCGGGCCTGGAGCCCACGGACGCCGTGATCCGGTCTCCCAGATTCTGGCTGGAGTCGTTTAGGTCTAGGAAGAAGAGCGGGAGGGTGAAGGGCATGCGGTCGGGGAGCATGGGTTCCGGGGCGCTCAGCGAGGGGGCCTGGGCCCCAAGGGACGGGGTGGCCACTTGTTAGAGCCCGTTTGCCAGCACCACGGTTGTTTTTCCTGCTTGCTTCGGGGCGCTTATTAAGGAGAACAGGCCTCAACGAACGGGGTGTGTACTTGTCAGAGCTCGATTTATTTCTTCATTTTGTGGCTGGCACCGCGGTGGTTTGTTTGTGCCATTCAAGCGGCACCACCAGGGCTGGCTGGAACTGCAAGGCGTGGCGCATTTGGGGCTTGCCAACGGGAGCTGGAGGGCCCTGCTGCGTAGGCCTTGTGGATAGTTCTGTGGGGGCTATTTCAGCAATGCGGTGGGGTTCGCAAGCGAGCAGCAGTCTGTTCGATTACTGTTTGTCAAGGTAGGATAAGAGGCCGGGGTGCAAAGGGGGTGCAGCGCGGTTGGAGGGCACTATGCACGTTGCGCATCGTGTGTCGCATAGATTCCATGAGCTGCATTTAAATGCAAAATTGGCAAATTTGGCAAGAGCAATAATGCCCCAGCACCTCACGGGTAGCGCAAATCTCTGTTAAGGGACAGTACTTAGCGAAATTTGTCGCTTGTGGACTTTTCTTGGGGGGTTCGTTACTCGCCGTGTGGGTGAATACAGAATGGCCGCATTAAAGATGGAGAACTTGATGACGTAACCAAAGTATAGAGAAGATAGCCGCTGCTAGCCTGGATAATTGGCGATCTTCTTGGGTCTTTGCGGATTCAGGGCTGACAGAGCTTCAGAGGCTGGTCCTGCCTAATGAGTACAACGATGCGTCGATGACGTGACATGACTTGAAACTGTTTCACGTGGAATGTAAGGAATGTCAGTTGCCTTCGTTCAGCTCAAGACAAATCACCAGGCCCATATCCCTTCGGCCAGAATGGTGTGGCACCTGCACTCGGGATGTTCTGTTTCAATCCGCTGCATCAGAATTCATCGAGTGGCTTTTCGTTGCTTGCTGTTCATTGCTTACACAACTCCGCTGCACCCACAGGTGCTAATTCCTGCACTCCCCACTCGAGATTGGGCAGTGGTGGAAGGACACATCCCCAAACCACCATCAAAGGGAGCCGATAAAATCCCCCATGACGCCTTGCCTCCTCTCAAAGCACCCACTGACTGGCTGGGCCTCCCACCAGCTTCTCACAGCCCCACCACAACCAACAAATCCCCATATAGCATCCATCGCTCCCAGGCCTGAATGTGCTTAGTGCATTGCTGCAACATCATGACACCATCCACCAGATCCTGCACTGCTGAAGCATGTCGACCCTCCTCCAAGACTCAGCAGAACGTCCCTTGCACAACTGTGACATCCTCTACTGCAGAGGCTGTCGAATTCTGAAACACAGAGCCCTGCGAAAGCAGCTTGGGCTCCAAATCCAGCTTGGCGACCCATGTTTCCCCTGAACATCGAGGAGGCCCTCAGGAGATCCTTGGAGGTTGCTTGAATGATGCTTGGAGGCCTTTGGAAATGTCTGCCTCACAGACCCTTGAGACAGTTCTTGAAGGGGAGGGGGTTCCTCAGGAGGAACTGAAGAACTGATTCGAAGGCCTTGTGTGGTGATGCGCTTTTGACAATCGCAATGGACAAAACTCCACTCCAAGGAATCCAATACAGCCTGCATGATACCAAGGCCTGAATGAACTCAGTGCATGTTTGTCACAGCTCGATTCCAAGGATTCAGAGTACGGCACTCACAAACCCCTCAGCGCACCTCTCAGGCTGTTCATGACCTTTGGCAAAGCTGGTTGGAATCTGCCTCGCGACAAGTCAAGAAGGCACTGGTCCCCAGCATGGCAACCTCACATGATGTCTGAGCACCATAAGAAGAAAATCCCCAGAAATTCAAAGTGCTCTCAGGTCAGCCGCCTTTTCGGAAATTCCCAGGATTCTCGCCAGAAACCGCCCAGAAGTGGCCCAAGAACACACCCCACGCCCCTCATGCACACACGCCGGTCATCGCCTTCATGGCGCAAGAGCAACGCTTTGTCTCTTCCAGGCAATTTTTAGCAAAAGGATTCAGCCACACACATATCATCGCCTTTAGGTTGCAAAGGGCACCACGTTGTCCCTTCAAGGCAATTTCAAGCAAAGGCAGACTCTCCTCAGAATGTCCTCAGATCGTCCTGAGAAAGTCCTCGGAATGCCCTCAGAAGTGTGCCCAGAATGGCCCCAGACTGTCCTCAGACTGTCCTCGGAATGTCCTCCGAATGTCCTCAGAACGTTCTCAGCGCGCCCCTGACGTCCCCCACGAACTTCCCCAGGTTCGACCTGAACCGCCCGCGCGCCTGCCTCGACATCGGGTCCCCCCCGGCAGCCCCGATCTGCATCAGCTCCCCGGCCGCCCGGCCCATCGCCTCCGAAGCGCGGCTGTCGCCGCCGGGCGGCGCCATCGACGCGCAGACGGCATCGAAGGCCGGCGGGTCACAGAGAATGATGGGGAGGAGGGGTGCGGCGCAGAGATCCGTCAGGCCGGCGGAGCGGTCCTCTAAGAGAAGCTTCTGGAAGAGGAGGCGCAGGAAGTGGGCGGGGACGCCCTCGCCGCCTGCGGGAAGCCGGGGGCAAGGGGAGTGAGTGGAAGCCGATGCATTCTGTAGTTGTGCAGGTACATTTGTGGCATCGGGTGTGCTTATGTGCTTTGTCTCTCGTGTCCTTTGTGTGGGCACATGTGTAAAATTTGGGTTTCCTGAAGTGCTTGAATAGGGTGTCCTTTGTGTGGTGCTTGTGGAAATGGAGCATATGATCCGTTAAATGAAAGAGCCACACAAGGTTGGATGTTTGTATAGTCGCTGGTGGGGACAACAACCGTGCCCAGAGTACGACAGTGAATCAATGTAAACGTATGTAGAACACACGCTGGTCGAGGCACGCGTCTCTGCTGGGGTCGGCTTACCAGGCAAGCGTCAGCATTTCCTGGCAGGACCTACAGGTATCAGCTCCGACAGAAGGAAAGCATGCCCATTCAATGGCCAAAGCGCATGTGAGGGTGTTTGAATTTCATGAAAGATGATGCAGAAATGTCCGACAGGAGGAGCCGTGACAGCACATGAATAAGAGCAGAACAGGTGCTGCCCACACACATCGTCCTGCCAGTTGCCTGTCATTTGGCAGGGCATGTGTGTGCGGTGTTTCGACAAACACAGCAAAAAGCCATCGCTGCAGGGCAAGCCATGCCAAGTTGGTGCGTTTTGTGAATGCCCACTTTGCTGCATTGGAAGACAGTGGCACACTGCAAGGCAGCACAAACCATGCAAGCATACAAGCTTGGGAAACCAGACTTGAAAACAGCTCAAAGAACCTCACAAATATGCTTGGGAGTGGTATATACTAAAATGTATACCTATTGTTAATTCGTTTCAGAAGTATATGTACGATTTCTTAGGCTGATTTCTGGAGAAGGAAAACGTGCCTTCGAAGCGGTGCCCAGCAAGCTCAGCCCCTCCACCCATCTTCAGCGCCTCGTACTGAAACCTCATCATGCCCGCAAGGCCCTCCAGGCAGGCCTGGGTAACAGCAATATCCGCGTGGTTGAGGCCGTGCTCCAGGGCGGCCATGAGGCCCAGGAAGGGCGCGGTGGGCAGGGCAGCCACCTGCCCTGGGTAGGCCTCCAGCACGTGGGATAGCAGGTCGAAGAAAGGGGTGCAAAGCCTGGGGTACATCAACAGCTCGCGGTTCATCAGAGGCACCACGATGTTGAGCCCCAGGAGCACAGCCTGAAAGAACGAGCACAAACAGACAATGTGATGAAGAAATGAACACAAGTATGAATATGTGCATGTTTATGCAGTCCATTCGAATCTCTATCTCTAAGCTTTGGAGATTTGACAGTGAGAAGGAAATGAACATGTCTGGGCCTGAAACTGCATTTTGCGATGGCCATTGGGGAGTTGGAGTTGAAAGGATGGCACCGAAATTGCTGAACTCAAGTGTTCAATTGCATCAAGTGATGCTGGAGAACATCAGCCGGACTGATGCTGAAGAGGTAATGCGGAGGTTGGCACTGTACCCAATAGTGACACTGCGGCTTAGCCATATGGCTAAATAATAGATGTTACCCCATATTAGCCATATATGTTAGCCATATATCAGCCACAAGTAGGTCATTTCTCTTCATTTCGTTTCTTAGACCACCGTTTGATGTGTTGCATACAAGTGGCCAGCACAGAAAAGAATGAAAGAGGGAGAAGCAAACAGCTTAGATGAGCACATGCCTCCCACCGTAGCAACGAAGCACAAGGGCCCCGCTCTGCTCTGCGGTGGCAATGCAGCACAAGGAATTTGGCAGCGTCTGAGGCACAACAGCAGGTCGCCAGTCATCCAAAGCACCCAGTCACACTCTCCTATTGATCAGGTTCTCACACACAGAACACAACCATGCTCAATTTGTTGATGAACACATTCATGCTCTGTCAACTCACTGGGCAGGGGCACAATATGTTAATACTGTCAAACGCAAGCAACAGAGATGCACCTGACATCCACAGGGGTCACCAGCCTGTGGGCCTTGATGGAGATCTAATGCTGCACGACAAGGACGCAACACATTTGGGTGTTTATCATCCATTCAAGCTGAGCAACAACAAGCGGGTCTGTGGTGCACAGCACCCCACACTGAATCTAACTGGTGTCATCTCTCAAGTTGCCTTTTACACGACAAGGCCGTACCCTTGCACACCAAATCTGACTGCAATGGACGCCATGGGCCGCACCTCTGCAAAGTCCACGCTCTTGCCATTGGCATCAAAGAGCACGCCATGCATGCTGCGCAGGTCGCTCATGTTGGTGACCATCTTGAGGAGTGCCCTCAGGTCGCGGCACTTCTCTTCCTCCCGGCCTTCCCTTAGCGCTTTGGCCGCCTCCAGAGACACTGCCCCAAGGTTGTGCTTTGAGTAGAGCTTGATAAGTGCCAGCATCCACTGGAACAAGGCCTGGGTGTTTGCGCTCTGTGGAGGCAGTGAGGCAATGGTCAGTGACACTCTTCGGCAGTGGCATAAACACTGTCGAGCTCTCCTGGTGTCAAAGCTCTGCAGCAGAGGTACTATTCCCAGGTTGTGGTGTTGAGGGGAATTTGATCAGCAATACCGCTATCCTGCACGTGAAGTATTGTATACACAATCCTACACATAATCGGCAGATAAACCATCTGCAAGTACATCTAATCTACAGGTCAAGACTTTGACCAACTGCACTGATTGAACGTCAGTCGTAGAAGCAGCAAAGCACAAACGAGTTGCTCAGCTCAAAAGTTTCCAGCAGCATCTCCAATCGGAGGTCTATCGCTCCATTTTGGTGCCTTGAACAGGATCGTTCAATCACAAAGATGCACGAAACAGGCTGCTCACATCCAAGTAGGGGCTCTGGCTGTCCATCACTTCCCCAGCCAGCTTCAGGATCAAGTACGTCACATTGGTGTAGGCCCTGAAGGCCTCCATTACCTGCGGCACAATGCCATTTTCAGTCGCTGTGTATTTAAGTATCTACTTCACTTCCTGTCCCTGAATTCGAATTGCCACTCTGGGTTGCTGCGAACAAATCCTAATTGGGTGCATGTTTGAAAACATGACAATTGCTGCCCCTGCACCCATTAGGAGGCATTCCACAAGATGCATTTTCCCAAACAGGATGACAAGACCCCATTCATGTCCCCAGGGCGATGCTGGGTGTTGGGTGCCACCTCGCAACTGTTCACCCAATTCTCTGCACTCTACACGTTTAGAGGTGTCCTCTCAACCTACCAGCCTGTGAGTTGATGTGCATTGTTGGCGGGGGGCGATAAATAGTGGAGGCACGTTTTGTGGAAAAAAAAGCTGAAGGGGTCAAGGAGACATAGCATTGGAAATGAAACAGGGGTATGGTAAAGACACGACAGAAGCTCACTCCACAAAGCTTCCAGTCTTTGTTTAAACAGAACTGCTCCACTGAAGACCTTATGCAGGTGCTCTCAACTGTGTTCAACCAAGCAAAATTGTGTGGCAATACTGTTTTCCGTTCTATGCCAAAAAATTTGTAATCTTAACCATATGGCGTGCCAGTTCGGGCTGCTAAAACTTTCATAATGACCTCCAACAAGAGTTGGAAGAGTGGCCAGGAACAACAAAGAAGCTGCATAGCATGAAGACACAAGAAAAACAGGACACAAAAAAACAAGACGAATTTACAAATCGTAAACACAAGGGAACAGTCACCACCTGCAAAAGAGGCTGAAAGAGAGCCGAGAACATGGCCCAAACAGCATGGTTGGCAGCTTCTGCTGTGCCTCTGGCAGCGCCTCGCAACGCCTCCAGCTGCCTGCACACCTCATCGGCCACCTGAGGGTGAGCCGCAATTTTGTGCAGATTTGGGTTTTGTGGCAGGTTGGCCAATTGACCTGCAGGGATGCGAAAAATGAATCTTAAAATACCTTAGAATGGGCCTCAAAAAAATGCCTTTACAAGAAAACTTCAGGAAAGGATTTCTCCCCTTGTAGCGAGACTGCACAATGGAGATCGTGCAGTCTTCCCACATGCTTTGTCATACCCATTTTTGGATCTCATTTTGCATATATCTTAATGTTTGTTTCTTCTGTCTAGCAGTACAGCACTGGAAGGCCATGGGCACACATAGTGTGGAAGTACATATGCGCTTTGAACAGTGCCTTGCATGTGTCACAAAATGCGGCACATTGCCAATGCTCAGATCGGTATGAATTCAGAGTTCGAAATGCACACAGAGCACAAGTCAGATGGTGCTTGCACCAATTACTTACAAATCTCAGCACTTCACACGATCAGCATGTTGTGAGCCACTGACACCTGTGTTTACACAGTTGCTATGTTTTGCTGCTGGGTTTATTACTTCCTCCTCTATGTATTTGCCGTTACAGGGCGATCCAAGGTGATTCCAGGAAAACACAAGCAGCGTGAAATAAGCAAATTGCAGCCAAACAGAATGGTGTGATTCAGACGTGTTTCCCATTTGGCCAATGGGTGCATGCTGTGCATAACTTCGCTGCTTCTGTCTGCAGGTTCCACACAGCACCAGCATGCCTGGCTCTTGCTGGTGGCAGCCAGCAAGAAAGCATACAGGACAGGAACAAAATGCTGGCTTTGCTTTTCCCACTAAGAATGTCAGCTGCACTTGCCCACACTGGGAAAAACATGCGAATTGCTGACAGGATCACTGCCGGCTTGCTTGCAACAAGACCCAGTCTTGTTGGCAACCAGGTTCCTTTGATGAAAAGGTGCTGCTGCAAAGCACAATAAACTATTAAGCTTGGCCCACCTGACCCTGCATGGCACCAAGGCTGAAAGCACGTGAAGTGCGACAGAGTTCAAGACTGTCCAGGTCCAAAAGTGCATTTAAGAGTTCACACCACATCCAAAAAGTACCGGTGAAAGTCAAAAACAGTGCCTGCAGGAATAGGGGCCAGACGGTCGCACAATACCACTGCTCAGGAAGAGGATGCCCATTGTATGGAATCCCAATTAATCTTTGGGGCAATGTGAGGCTGATGTGTCACCAATTGGAAACGATGGTCAGGGTTTACAATCATGCTTAGCCAGGTGGTCTTCGGGTCAGCTCAGTATGGCATATTTCAAATGTAGTCCTGGTGTAATGCACCCACACATAGCACTTTGCGACATCAGTCACTGGTTCACAGAACCTTAGCAATCACACAATTACTGAGAAGAAGACACAGCAAAAGAGCTTTCGTTATGAAGAGGCCTGACATCAAGACAGCACTCACTGGCGCTGTGGCCCATCAACGTGCTGGCAGACTCCTTGGCGGCCGAGCAGTCATTTGTACCACTTATGGAAATGTACAGGCTCTGCATCGCAAGACGGATGGCCTTGTCGTTTACTTTCCTAAAGTGGTCTGCAGACATAAGTTGCACAAACGCCTTCCAGTCGTCAGACTTCCACAGCCTGGGAGACAGAACAATGGAGGCATGTCAGCTTGGTCCCCGACCTTTGGCGTGGCAGATTCTACCACAGCAATGCTGGTCGATTCCTTGGATTGAGATCGTCAGGGCAGCCATGACAACTACGAACTTGCACCTTGCAGGCGATGACAACGTTGAGGCTATGAGGGAGTTCTCGCTGTTGAACAGGTCACGCATTCCTGAAGCAAGCCTGTTGTCAGACTTCAGCGATGAGGAGTGCACAATTCAGCCACAACCTTTGTTGCCTGCAGTTGTTTGTTCTCCATCAAACCTGCAGGCCCAATGCTCCCTGGAACCTTGATATTGCACACAAGCCCACCCCTCAAGAATGGCTGCAGGCACCTATTTTTGCCGATTGGTGAGTCACAGTCTGGAATGAAGGTCCGTCCCATGGGAAGCAGAACCCAAAAGAGTGATCAAACGGATGAAGGTGTGAGCTGGAGAACCGCCATGCACAAAATGAAATAGTGCCACTGTACATGCCAGTTACTCAATAAGCATTCACACCCTTCATCGCTTTGTGGGCACCTGGGCCTGCTTTGCTGACTGCTAGCAGATGCAGGTGTCTGCATCTGACTGCAGGTGTCAAGTGAATGTCTGCACAGGACCCTGCACACGACATCTGCTTGCACAGATTCTGATCAAGGCCCTAAATGTTTGTTTGTGAAACCCTGCACCATGCTGGCGAATTTGTAAAATGGTAGAATGGCCAAGGTCGAAAATGAAGATCAAGAAATACAGTAGTTTGGCGCGCAAACCATGACTACGATGACACGATTTGGGCCAATTTTCACTTGTGCTGCGTCTCTTTTCATATTCAGCAACGACGCAATTCAGATTCCAAATACTTCACCAAGTCTACTCACCAGATGCGAACAAGGGAATATTCACCAAATGAGAACAATCCAAATTGGTAAGAATCTAAAATTTCAGCAATTGCATTGCAGCTTGAGCCTGAATGAAACGTGTGTATGATAGGCAATGTATGGGCACAATATTGCTTTTAGCAATATAATTTTCCATGTCCTGCCAGATGCCACTCGCCAACTTACTCACAGCAGAGTGGCGGTCTCCTGGTCAAAACGCGCAGCAGTTTGCTGGCCACCAGAGCGTGCAGGTCGTTCTCCCCAGGGTAGTGCTGGAAGCAAGCTTGCACGACCCTGACAGAGACGGAGAGTGCCGCTGCACCGCGGGGCCCCTGCCCAAAAGCCGCCTTCATGGCCAGTCCCAAGGCATCTTCAGAGGACAACAGGTAGGTGTCTGCCCATCGCGCCAGTGACCACACGGCAACTTCCATGAGCCTGAAGCCACAGCAGCTGCCGCATTTCGAATCTTGTTTTCGGATATGATTTGGCGGTATTGTACGAGTGCAAAATTTTGTGCAACAATGGGAACTGAAGCCTGTCAGGTTTTGAAGTTCTTGCACTCTGAGTTGAGCAGACTGGTGCCAGACATGCCATGGGACGAACATTGCTTCAGCATGCCAGCTCCTGGACAGTCTCTGGCCCAGAGCAGGATGGTTGGGGGGGGGGGGGCTCATGAGCACACTGTGCTGCATCAGAACAAGGTGTTTATGAAAGGCTGCTTGACCATCACATCATGGTGCAGTGTACGAAAGAGTCCAAAAGTCTTGCACAGTGGGAGATGCCCATAGTATCACAATTTTCCTTTCAGTCAAAAGCACAGCCTTTCAAAACGGACACATGTCCTCACAACAAACGCCCCTCGCCTCAACCAGTCACAACAGCTGTGCCACAGTCACGATGTTGCCATCATTGCTTATCATTACAGCTGCCATTCCTCCAATGTGTGGAGCACAAACCGGCTTACAGTGCATAGGAGCCAAACATGGCTGCAAACAAATTGCTCAACTACATTCGTTGATGCGTCCAGTGTGTCAGGCAAGACTTGGCTTTAAAGTGTTTCTTGCACAGTGCCACGAACACCAGCTGAGTGCAACAAAAGTGCAAGGACACAACACAACACAACACAGCACAGCACAGCACAGCAAGGCAGCTGTGCCATGGAAATCAGTGCACGCCCTTCCAACTGTAAGCCACACGGCACCTGGGGCTGATCGCGGCCCTTGTTGTGCTGTCAAGGCAAAGGGACACCACCCCAAGGATGGCATTGGACAGGCCCTCCACAGGGTCGCCGCCACCCCAGGCCTGCTGCCCCTGCAGGGCCTCACTAATGGCCTGGGGCACCAGTGGGGTTTCACCCTCTCCTGCATCAGCCAGCACGCAGGCTGAGGTGGACAGCAGCCACACAAGCTCCTCAAGTGTGGCAGAGGGATCCTGGCCTGGGCAGCAGGAAAGGGACACAGTGTTGGGTTGAGAGAAGCTGTGGGTGTGCTGGAAAATGGGACAAAGGACAACAGAAAAGCAGCTGAAGAAGAAGATTTCCTACTCATGGTGTCATGACAAAGATGTGCACGTCACTGTCCGTGATGAGCACACTATACTCTACCCATCCAAATGTATCTTGGCCACAAGAAAAGCAGCTGAAGGGTGAGGTGGAGATGGCCACAACCTTCTAAGGGGTTGCAGTGGGAACTGGGCATGAGTAGCGGATTGTTAGACAAATTTTGGAGTGACCTATGTTTGTAGACGCAGGGGGACTGGGAGAACGAAGCGAACAAATCAGCGGCACTCCACAGAACAGACTTTGCACTGAATCCAGTGGACAGAAAACTGCTGCACAGACTGTCCACAGCTGATGCAAGCACTCAATATTTGGATACAAGCAACTTGGCCGCCATGTCGTTCCACTTGGCCAACTTTTTCCTGCCCACACGGCTGAGTTGCCAGTGGCACCTGGGAGCAGCCCAAGACCACGCATGTGGTGTGCTCACAGTGTGGCAATTGTGAACGAAGCAGTGCCACAGATGCCCTGTTCACAAACATAACTCTGTGTACTTTATAGGAACATGTTCACTGAATTTACTTTACCGGATGCACTTTGTACTGCATATTCACTATCAGTGCCTATTGTATGTGCTTCCCTGTATCGCATTCACAGTGTGTGGGGAATGGTCAACCTCACCACTTGCGCTGCACTGCAATAGTCGTTCCCGCCGATCATTCAGCAGCCTAGTGAGGAGTGGCAGGCTGGAGGCCCCACAGGCCCGGCCCACCACCGCTGCTCTGGCAAGAGCATCATCTGAGCCGCAAGGACCGCTGCAGCCCTTGTCACCCTCATCCAAGTCCTGAATGGGTGGCACACAGCTATCAGCATCCTTGTCTTTCCTCAGTTGAATGCAAAATGGACACATCAAATTGTTGTTGCATGCGCATCAGCAATTCCAATACAGGACGTTGCACATCCATGTCTTCCCTCAGTTGAATGCAAATTGAGACATCAAATTGTTGTGGTGTACGCATCATCTATTCGGATATGGGATGTTGGTGTACACATCATCTATTCGGATATGGGACGTTGCGCCCACGACCTGAGGCGCTCCCCCGATCCCGATAGAGGAAAAACACGTCACCCTGCAACAAAGTTGATGCATGACTTGGGAACGTTGCTGCTGTTGAACAGCCAGCATGCAGGCCAAACACTAAACAGGATGTATGCCTCTGTGAGCTGCCAACAGATCTCTAGGTGCTGGCATCTTGTGCCTTAAAAGTGGAGCCAGCAGCGTTCACTTGAAGCCCCAAAACAGAAAGGAAACCAATGGCCTCTGCCAACAGTTATGTGTAATTAAGGTCTCTTTTACATTTGTCAGCAATTCCTCAGCAGCCCAGGCTGTACTTAAAGCAGCAGACAATGTTCAGCAATTCCCACACTCCATCCAGGCACAACAGACAGATCATAAAGAATGCCAGGTCGTCTTCTGTAATTCACTGCCACAATCTGCGACTTCTACACACACCATGTATATACCATACACCTTGTATTGTATATCTATCTTACATACACAGTCATACTCACACATCGTGTATATACACATGCATGCATACATACGGCATAGACATACATGTGTACTCCTTGTATGGTCCACAACACACGCGTGTCGCCTGGTGCACATACAGCATGCTCATAGCATTTGGGGGCTGATAAAAGCTCAGCTGCCAGCTTTACTAAAACATAAGCTGTTCCATGTGGCGCATTATGAAGTCCGGATGAGATGCACAATTTTGACTTGCGTAGCTGCAGTCGGAAAGTAAGGATTATCAGTAAAGTCCAGTTACCGAAGATATGCTCCCCATGCTTGATGCACTGAGTCGAACATGCTGCACATGGCATGGTTTCTGCTCTGCTTCAGGTGGAGCACAAGTTACACACAGAACAATAAACATGAACACAAAAGCGAAAAGTGAACTGTTCCAGCCCCGGCTATCGATCGTTGCCCTGCTGCTTTGATTTGGAGTGCAAATCGGATGGAGATCGCAATGCATTCGATTCCATTGATCTGTACACAACACAGCACTGCCCTCGCGAGCACAAGTTGGTGGCAGGCATGGCAGCAGCCTAGAGGTGTTCATTCCACCCTCTGTACTCAGGGATCCGCGCAACATTTCTTTCTTGCTACTTTGGAGGAGGGGGAGGGAAGGGGTGTCTACCTCACCTTGTGTGCCCCCTCACAGGCCTCCCGCAGCGAAGCCTCTGCAAGGGACTGGAAGATGCTTGCCGAGCAACTGGAGATCTCTTGAGGCAGGGCGTTGACACTGGTCTGAGACTGACTGCCAGATTGCACAAGGTTTGACCATGCCTGAAACACAGGAAGGCATCAGCATCAACAGCTCAAATGCAAGGCAGATGGGTGACAGGATCTGTATCTCACCAAATGCAATTGCCAGGGGCTGGCAATGCCCCACAGGCTGGCAAGGGATGGCCCCCCTGTCTTGATGCCACAAACGCTGCATCGCAGTGAGTATGCAAAAGCCAACAGAAACAAATGCCAATGCTTAACGAACTCAACATCGATTCGAAACGCACTGCAAAAATGGGCAAACGCCTGGGAAAACATGAGCAACAGCGCATCTGGGAGTGAATAGGGACAGGCAGCCGGCCTGCAATTCTACCCTATGATGCTTCAACCGCAAAGAACAAACTGCTTGCAGTACAGTGGATGCATAGATGCAGCACAGGCTACCCACCTCAAGCAGCATGTCTGTACAGTTCCCCACCCACGTCCCCACTGCTTCCTCATGCAGGCCTCCTACAGCTATGCAGGCTAGAAGCAGGCCCGATATTCTGCCCAGGATCCCACCCCCCGGCACCTGGTCAAATGCGAAATGAACAATCACGCTGGCTGACATGTTGCCTGCCCCCGCCACGAAGGTGCAAGGGCAGTGCTGTGTGCAATCCCTGTCAACACCATTGGGACAGGACAGGCAATGAGCACCCCCCAACGGTCAGAAGCAAGACTAAAGTTCGACTGCCACAGCTCTGATGTACTGCACACAAGTATAACACTCAAGTACTCAACCAAGGTACTGCTTTAAAGTACTGCAACATTCTAAACAGCGCTGAGCATGCACTCCACTGACTGTGTTCTGTCACAAGCAGTTGACAGCACAAAACCGCTGCACATTGATGGTGACAATGGCACCGTTGCAACCCCTGGGCTGCTAAACGTGCTGTGACACTTCGGAATCAACAGAATATGACCACAGCAGCAGGCACAAAATGTGCATCCATTATAATGCACAGATCCACGACAGGTACATATGCAGTGCTTGTGTTACTTCTTAATAATCAGATGCAAATGAGCAGAGTGTCACCTGGTCAGGGGGAGCTGCGCACTGGAGGTCCGCTGCCGTGTGGCCTAGAGCCAGGGCAAAGATGGCCCTGTCAGTGCATTGGCACATCTCGTCAATGTGCACTGGCAAACCTTGTAGATACAGCACCCACGGCACCAGCATAGAGAAGAAACTGGCACAATTTCACTGAACGCTTGCCTGAAAAGAAATGGCCGAAACAATTAAACCTAAACTAAAACCCTGCCGCGCTGTTGCTGAAAGCTGCTGTGCAATCGGGTGGTGTTCTATTTGGATTCTTTTGGATTCAAGAACACTACAGCACACCTTTAGTGTCCAATGCACCAATAAGGGGTCAAGGCAAGGGTGGGCACACTACGTAGTGAGAGCATCGTTTCGTCCACCAAACTGTCCCATCAGGTACAGCATTCAGCTTTCAGTAACTGAACTACGGCACTCCACGATGCCACATTGGTGACTGGCTGATTGACCTATTGAGTTACAGGCTGACAACTCAAAACCACCCTTTCAGGCAAATGTGGCATAGGAGCTGCACAGAGTGACACACAATTCGCCCAGTTTTATCCCACCTGCAGCCATCAGTCAGCTCCTCATCATCCACATTTGCTGCTTTTTGCACTGCTGCCTCTGGTGGCTGAATCCATGCCAGCAGCGCTTGGAGGATTTGATGCAGGTAGGAAAGCCTTGCTTCCCTGCCTGCCAGCACCAGAAGGTGATGTCACAGACCAGTCAGATAACGACCAAGATGTCTGTAAAAGAGAAAAGCTTCTTGTAAAAAAGAACAGAATGGTGCACGCTGCAATGCACATGCTTATGCAGCACTCGAGCTGGCAGCCAGGCCCAGGTTGGGCACAAGTTCGGTTTGCAAAATCAGTTTGTTCATGAACAGGAGTTGTGATGCTGCATATTGATGCTGCTGCCGGCAATCTGATGAACATGTTGTACAATGAGTCACTGTGAATTGGTCGTTGACAGCTTCCAATCATTTTGCATGAAGCTGCAGCACTAAGAAGCAAGACACCTCCACATTGATAAAACATTCCAGCATGTTGGCCAACTAATTATGCATTTCGCCATACACATTGTCCAAACATATTCATGTTGCAATGTATGGCACCTTATCACTTTGCCATCAACCTGGAAACTGTAGAGTCCAAAATTGCCCAGCACATTACCACAGCAGATCCTAAGGTAATGGCCCATCAACAAGGACTACACGCAGGCCGCTTCCAGCCTCACCGCCTTGTTGGCCGTTAAATATGTCCCCTGAAATGGAGCACAGCAGCACCAGCAGCTGTCTCGCATGAGTCATCAGCTGGCGTGTGACGTCACCCATCGTCCTGAAACCCGACAGCAGCTCCACGAGCCAGGCGGTGGTGGCAGGGGCCAACAACACGTCAGACCACGATGCCGGCGGCCGGAGGCGCATGGCGTCGCTGCCCGGCCGGCCTGTGGCCTGCTGATGCAGGACAACAGCAATTGACTCCATTCACTAATGGAACAACCATAAGCTTTGCTACTGGATTCAGATGGAGTTGGCTGAAGCATGATGTCCTTTCCTTATTGCATTTGTGGCCATCCTTTTGTTATCATTGAATTGCACACAACAGTGCCATCGCAACTCAATTCCATTTGTCCCATCACAAGACCGCAACGATTTGAGGTGGCTGAGGGCATGAGCGCAGACACAATGTTGATTCAAGATAAGCAGATAAACTGACCCCAATGCTTGCAGAAACATGTTGCCCACAGAATCGAAGGTCCATCCACTTACCACAAACAGGGCACAGGACTTAGAACTTGCTTTGTTGTAGTATTGTAAGTACTTAGTACTGCTTGTCACTGGTAGACTGTCTACTGAACTACTTGCCAGTACATTGTTGCACCAACTTTGCCCAAAACGGGTTATATGGTTGTCCCGCACCTGCGATGCGGAGCCTGGTGCTGCTAACCCGTCTGGTCGAAAGTCCCACCCGATGATCGAGCACAGCAGCGCCAAGCATGCGCTGCAAGTGCCAGCATCCGTCCCCATTGCAGCTGCCCCCGACCTGGCTGCATCGCTGCCGATGTGGACAGCATGGCGGAAGATGTCTTTTAGGAAGCTTTCCTGCAAGGGAGGGGCACCACAACATGCAAATTGGTCAATTCCATACCTCCTTCCACAATTTGGTGGTGCAGCATGCTCACAAATTACAGCTGGCCAGGATTTGGAGAGATATCCAATGTTTGTGCTGAGGCCACAAGCTCGTCAGTGTCTTCTTAGTTTGGGTGTGAGGAACTATCAAGTGTGACTGAGAGCGACCACAGCGCCAGATGCTCTGCCGCATGGCTTCAGCAGTTTCAAGTTGGCAGCATAGATCTGTTTCTAGTTGACAAACTGTAGTCCCCCTTCCTTTCTGTGTTATGTGGCCCGCTGCCCGCGAATCAGGCAGGTGCTGAATCCAATGATGTTTAACAGCTGAAATCACACATAATACATTCTGAGTATTGAACAATACTGTGTGCTGGTGTGCAGCCGTGGCCAAGAATGCCAAGCTCTTCAACTTCATCTGGACTTGCTGTATCTTTTTGGGTTATTTACCACACGGATTTACAATCCTGTTCCTATTTGGATGTGCCAAACCAGGTGGATAATGGGCACTGAGCACTCTCAAATGTCGTCTTGAACTGCTTGTCTCACTCAAACTGGATGCAGTTGAGCCCTTGTGCCCCCTAGACCTTCCAAACAGGTGCCATTCCCAGATAGGCACTAAGAATCAGCTGAAATGGCTGACGCTCCAGCCTACACAGAAAAAATGCGAGTTGCTAAGATACTGAGCGCCCCCAGCTTGCCAAAATGAAGCTGCTGTGAACAGATCCGCATCAGCATCAACCAAAGTTACTGATACTCGGGCTGAAATAGCCACAGCCGAGAGAGGGGGAGAATGGTGGAACCCACCATCACTCGCATTTTGGCCATTTCGGCTTCACCCAATCCCACCCCAAAATTATACATATAACAACATATTATGGCCCTTTATTTTATGCACCTGCTGCTGCCCATTGCAGTGCACTGTTTCAGCAACATTCTCCGATCTGCAGCATCTGCCCGCTACAAATTCGCAGCCACACATATTGGATGGTGTATGGCACATTGGCAATAGCACTAATCAATCAGAATCCAAAACAACCAAACTCTCCAAAGAATAGAAATGCATAACAAAGTAAAAAAATTCATAAACAAAAAACGATAAAAGCAAACACGCAACAAATCGATCCTACCTCAAGGGATGCCCTGCACATCTCATGGTAGCCCCATGACAAGCCCAAAGGGGTTGCCGTTATGGGCGCAAATTCTGTCACGATGGACTCCAAGATCTGGATGCCAACACGCCTGGCATGGACATTGCCAGCCCCTGCAACCGTTCGCTCCAGTCCCTACCATGCCCACACACACAAGTCGTTGATTGCAATATTCCATGTCCAGTGTACTGTCAGTATTGGGGTTCTGCTTGAGGTAATCGACTGACCCAAGACATCCCTTTTGCACTATCTGACCTGCCTTTTGCCAGGGTCACGGGGGCAATGCCCAGTTGTTCCATTTGTCGCAACACACTACCCTTGAACCTGTAAGACCATGATGGGCATCCGTCATGGAAACAACATGATGCAGGATCTGCAATACTGATTAATCGATCCACGATCAACACGTAAAAAAACACTAAAACTCAAGAGAAACAATCCCATAAGAGATACAATTATTCCCCTGCTCTAACAGCAGACGTCTTCTCCTCTGGACTCTTCATTGTTTTGACAGGGGACACCAGAACTCCCCTTCCGATTTACATCCCTGTGCAAGGCCTTTGGCATGCACTGAAAGTCGCAAAAAAGCCCCAAAAAAACACAGGCACTCACCTCAAAATAGGCCGCTCGCTCCCCCTGGCTCATGTCCCCCCACGCCCGCTTCAACAGCACCGCCAGCAGCCCCACCAGCCCAGAAACCACAACCTTGGCCCCAGGGTCCCGGGCAGCGGCCAGCGCATGCGCCATGGCCTGGCCCTGCACCCCATGCCTCTGCTCCTGCGGCAGGGAATCCCATCGGCGAGCGGTGGCCTCCCGAAGGGCCACGGCCGCCTGGAACTGGGTGTCAGGGGAGGGGGAGGTGTGGAGGATCTGCTGGCAGGCCAGGATCAGGTCGGGGTGGTCGCGGATGTCCACCAGGACGCGCGAGGCGGCGAGGCTCTTGGCAGGATCCTTCACAAAGTCAAGGTACTGCTGTTGAGAAACAGCTTGAATTCTTTTCTAGCAATGTAATAGCGGTATTACTCAATATAGTTCTAACAATAATAGTGTTGCTACACAGTAGTACACAGCAGAGCACTTAGGAAAGAGCAGAAAGGGAATGGACCACTCGATCTGGCTGCAAATGGCGGTCCAGTTATGTGCAGGATATGTGGAGAGGGGCTTCTTTCCGTGCTTTGAAGGTTGATGTGGGAGTCTCTGAGGTAGCAAGAACAGTGTGCAAGGGTGAGGGTGCTTGTGGGCTTCCACCAAGACGTGTAAGGTGGCCAGGTTGTTGGCAGGGTCGTGGAGCAGACACGAGACACAAGGAGGAGACGCGCTTCTGCTGGATGCATCCAGAAAACGTACTTTTGATGAACAAAAACGTAACCAAAAAATGGAGCCCTTCCACAAGGAATCATTGGACACTGGATGCTTCTGCAGATGCACATGCTCAAGAGAGCCTCATTCTAGTTTTACAGGCACATTTCAAAGCCGGTGTTCGCAAAGAGACACTGCTGTTGTGGTGCGGTTGACCAAATGGATGGGAGACAGCGGCAGTTGGAGGATATGATATTGGGGTAGGGATTGGGTCAGATTGTTGTCATGAGTGACAGATTGTTTGTCACGAGTGTCTGGAAAAACAGGTGGCAATTCACTGATCCAACACCAGCATCAAGAATGCATATGAAATGGGCTAAAAGCAATAGGAAATGGTCCTGAAGCGACTCTTGGATGGTTCTAAACGTGCCCACAGGAGCAACTCCATTGTTTTCAATATCTTGTTGGCATCGATGCTTATGAACACAGGTTGTTAAGAAAATCGGATGGTGAATGCAGTTGTTCATGAAGAGAAATGCTTGCCCAATGCATTTGAAAAGTATATGGCGTTGGGGTGGAGGTCAGATGTGCTGGCTTGTAGACAACATAGAAATCTTCAACTGGCTGCTCATCGGTTAGCTACTGGAATGTGGTGTTGAGGCTGATCTCATGTTTTGTGGCTTCCATCTCATTCCTTGAATAAGTTTGTTGATCCAATTCAGAGGATGACACTCCAGTCCACACCACCGAAGACACGAAGACACAGCGTTGCTCAGCAATGGAGAGTGACCAGCCCAATGGAGAGGCAGGGATGCACCTCCGAGTGAGCCAACTCATCAGCAAACATTCTTCATATAGCTAAGAAGCCCGCCACATAAGGCAACAATATTGTGCTTTCTCCAAAGGATGGAAGGTGCTAAAGCAAATTGGTAAACTACTCGAGCTCACAAGGGAACATTGGGCGCATCCCAAGACCAAACATTGCTACTGAGTAGGCATTCCCTCCCAAACCTAAATACCCAGAGCGTTTCCGGGTTTCCCTCCCGAAACACTGGCCCCACCGGCGCAGCTGCCGACTTTGGGCCAGGGATGCAGGAACGAACCTGTTTCCCAGCCTAGGATCGGATGTTGTGATGGTCTTCATGCCTTGCAGTCCACAATGCCGGCTCAAAGTGGCGCGCCCACGGCTTCCAAGCACCAGGGAAAGATGGAAAAAGCCACCATCTCGCACAATTCCCCCATCTTTCCCCCCACCCACGCGCATGCATGCTCAGCGTCCACACCCAATGCCTCCCGGCCGATCTGGCCCCTGCAACTGCAGCACCCTCTTCCGCAACCACCCACAAACAACCCGCCACACACAGCCGCCGTGCACGCCCATCAACAGAACGCCACGCAAGATCATCCCCCCCCCCCGCCCTCCCCGCCTAACTTTCAAATCCCCATCGGGGGCGCCAAACCCACCTTGAAGTCCTCGCACGCCTGTTCGAAGATGGCCTTCACGGCCTCCATGGCGCCACGACCGGCCGCCTCCCCAAAGCACCAACCTTGATCAAAGCTAGCTCCTCGCGGCCTTCCGCTTTGGACGCCGCGGCCGCCGGGAGAGCCTTTGCGCGGCTGGTTCCCAAACCAGCTGCTCAACACGCGTTTATGTACGTGTGGATCGAAGAATCAGATACGGTGCTGTTCGTTCCCGTACTGTTCTTCCGGATACGGTACAGTAACTCTGCTGACGTTTGCACGTGCAGCGCAAAGTCATCTGTTGCACTCGGAAAGCAGCTGCGCCTGAGGAAGTTGCTGTGTCGAAGATCCGTTTACCCGGGACCACGCGCCAGCAAACCATATGGCCAAAACTCCAACAAGGGGGCCGCTGTGGCAGAATGGGCAAAAATGGGCGACGACCTCAGCGCAGGTCAGCTCCCGGCGCGATCACCGGAAATCAACCCTAAACCTGGCGGTTGTCCTGGGGGATGTCTCCAAAGGCGTATAACTCTGTTTTTGGAAAAAGTGTATAGGTTCAGTACTTTCCAGTACTTGCTTGTACTTAATTGTCCTGAAAGGGTGTTGAATGTGCCTATGGGCAGCTTGGAGGCTGTGGATACTATGTGCCATTGGATAGCTGCCCCGCAGTTCACCAATGGGGGTTCTGTGTAGAGCGCACCATTGATGATTTAAACCATCCTTTTAAATTCATTTAAATCAGCATTTAAATTTAAAAAGCAGCTGTGCGTCGTTCGGTGAAACGCACATGAGCATGGACTCCAGGACCAGGCACCACGGCCACACATTGTTTGCGCAATTGACACAGTGGGCACAATTTCTGAGTGGCGCGGGCGAGGGCCCCTCCCTGAAAGACGTGCTTCTGCTTTGAGGAACCGCCCTGCCTTGAGACACCGATCACCTGGCTGCTGGCCATCTATCGCGGTTCCCAATCAATGGCTCCAGAATATTTCCCTGGACGCGACTCAATAGCCGATGTGTTTGACACGGTGGGCACCACGACATTATTGACAAGGTTCTCGGGTTTTCAGCGGTGCCGAAACACGGAAGGAAATTCGAACTGCGCATTGTTTGTCCAGTGATGTGTGGCAGGTACACAGCAGCTGCTTGCCGCATCAGCTGCGCACCCATTCAAACGGATGGAACAATGAAAGGCACATTGAAATTCCGCAGCAGGCGTGTTGTGGCCCTAGCTGTTGGACAAGGTGCCGCCGTGTTTCCTGGCGGTGTTGGAAGCAGAAGCGAAGCTTGCGAAGTAGTTGAGCAGTTTAGTATTGTTTGCACAGGCTGTGCAAACGACGTGCAGCACAGTGCAGACTCGTGAGTTGTCGCGAGTTGTGAGTTGTCCACTGCTTTTGAGAGCATGAGTGCAATGGCTGCCCGTCATCCTCCCACGACTCCTCCTGCACTCCCATGAAGACTGCTTGAAACACAGACACCGCCAAACTACGTGTTCGGGCTGTGTAAAAAGGCGGAAGCTCGGATGAAATAAGGCAATTTACGCCATTAGGCCTTGCAGCATGGTACAAATGCATTTAGCCTTCAAAGGTTATGTTGAACCCACGACTTAATCTGCTTTACCTAATTTGTCTCTTACATCCAATCCAGTCTCGAATGTAACTAACATCTCAGTTTGAATAACATGCATCTATCCAGTTGAACTAATTATGCATCCTCTTTTGCAAGTTCCTATTTTCTAGACGAAGGAGAACTTCCCATTTAAAACGGCCTTTGAGTTGCAAAAGGGGTTCAGAATCGAATATATTGGGACCACACGTCCTAGATTTTCGGCTAGTGAGACAAACTCTGCTCAAGTTCCCCAGATTGCCCCGCAATGTCACCCTTGCATTGGCCAAATGCGCGTTCACATAAGACATC